AGGAAACAGCCCAAGAAGGTTCCTTTAGACTGCCCTGCTTTGTGAAATTCTTTTAGATATCACCACCAGAAGTGTGGTGAAGGACAGAGAGTTGAAGGAACAACTGACATTGTCTAGAATTAGCTTGAGTTAATTTGCCAGATTGGCAGCTTCTAACCTGGAAGAGCTCTGTAGGACAAACTCACATAAGTAATTCTGTTACAAAATCTACCACTATAGGACAAAAACTGTGATGTAAGTGAGTCTGTTACCGAATACACTTAGAATTGTGAGGGGACTGTGGCCCAGTCAGCCAAATTATCTTGATCAAACCTGTCTAATAAGAGTTGGGTGTAGTGGCCTATCAGCAATGCTAGCAAGTGTGTGGTTATCCTAGGCTACATTAGACCAGTGTCAAGCAAACAAAAAGGCCTAATGATGATTGCAGAATGTTTTCACACTATCAGAGCAGCTCAGATGGAAAGCCAACAGTAAATTATGCAGCTTGCACAAAAAGAGACTTAAGTTTCCCCTAGGCATTCACTTCCAGAGAAGGCTGTACTTACTTATATTCAACCCCCAGAAGCACAAAGGTGGGGACAACTCTTTTAAGGGGAGTTCAGGGTATGGGGAAGAAATCTCTGGCAAAGGGACTGCTAAGCAAGGGAGCCACTTTCCTATTTGGAATTTTGTTATAGGTCAATCTGGTCTTTTTTACTACTCTGGATGGTGTTGGGTTTCATAAACATGTGATCTGAATTTCTATGTACTTAGGAGGCGTGCTATATTTGAGTATACTTTGATCAGTCCAGATAGAGATAAATGACTTCCTAGATCCAAAAGTCTAGTAAATATCAGAGACTGCAAGAGGCCACAAGCCAACCCAACACAAAAAGATATCTTTAAAATTTGCTGCCATCCTCTTGGATTCTGAGAAACATGAGCAAAGACAATCCTACTCAACCAAACCCTGCCCTTCTCAGCTCAGTGTTTTCTTGGGGTTCTGCATGGGAAAGAGAAGATTGGAAAGTGCATGTTCCCGACAGAAAGTCATATTAGACCACAGGGTCATTGAGTTATAAAATACGGAGTCAGTCATCCTTTGGAAATCAGTGAATGAGCCTCCCAGTAGCAAACATTTTAAGAGGGATATGTAAATATATTTCTAACCTGGAGTGGGTCTGTGTTAGAGTTGGGGCGAGAGGGAGTATTGGAGGAAATAGAGAAACAAGGAGAACTTGGGTGTGTTTGTGTGTTTAATAAAGTGAAAATAGATATACAGAGGAAAAGCTATAACATATTACAATATATAATCCTTATGTATTTGGGAGATGCTTTGAGAGTCATTGAGCCTTTCTCAGCTACACTGAGTAGAAGTATTTACTATGCAGATGAGCTGCTACAGAGAAATAACAGCAAAGGGCACAGAAAGGAGGAACTCACAGGAACTTGGTTGTGGTGGTGGAGAATTAACTTCTAGTGGGGTAGGTAAGAGAAAGGGGAATGATTCTCAGAGAGTGAAGCAAAAGCAAAGAGCAAGTAGGGCAGGGCCAAGGCTCCACATAAATATCTGAATGCCACACCCTTTCCTTTTGCCCTTCTTTTGAATAATCTCTTTCCTGTTCATTCAGAGTCACTCAGATAGTGACTCATATTATCAGGGACTCAGGAAACGCAGCCCCCAAACCTCCCAGGAGATCCCTTTCATGTTTGCTTCCTGGAGTCAGTGTGTGTGCTTCACCAGTCCACCCTACCTGCTCTGGAACCCTTAGCTAAACATTTCCCTTGAGATGAGTCATAGCTGAGAGTTGACTTCAGTGTACATTTTAGTAGGGAAACTAAACTTTCGTGCACCGGGAAATATGCTCTGATTAGTTTTATCTATCAAAAACAAAACAAAAATAACCTGTTTGTAAGGGTTGCACAATTGTGTAATTGTATATTTTTAATGACCATGTTTTTAAATTTCGAAATTAATATGAAGGTAGGAACAATGGAGACTACTCAAAAGAGCAGGTGTCCCTTAAATTTCCCTGAGGTAATGTGTTTTCATGTTTATTCCTTTAGTACCACCACCTAAATTATATTATATATTCAACACATATTATATATAATGTATGAATGATACACGCATATATGTATATATATGTATATTTTTAAGGGCTTTACTATGTCATCCTGGCCAGCTTGGACAGGTTCCAGGTAGAACTGGGCTGGCCTTGAACTCACAGAGATCCTCCTGCCTCTGTCTCTCAAGTGTTTTGATTAAAGGCATGTGCCACCATGCTCAGCCCTATATATGTACTTTTAAAAAGTTGTTTTGCATATTTATTGTCATTATTACTCGTGTGTGCACGTGTGCATGCCACAGTGGAGGTCATATGACAACTTTGGAGAATTAGTTTCTCTCTTCTCACCTTTTGTGGGTTCCAGACAAACTCAGGTTGTTGGGATTGTACCACAAGCACCCTCACCTGCTGAGCCATTTCACTGGCTTCAATATGATAGATGTAATTTTTAAAATGATCACGTATACTGTGTTAGCTATAGTTTTATATTTTATATATGATTTTAGCCAAGCCAAAAGGCTGAGAAGTGCTATTTTCTTACTTTCTGTTCTTTTTTAAGACAGGGTCACATGTAGCCCAGGCTGGCCTTCAACACTAAATAGCTGAAGATGACCTTGAACTCTAGATCTTACTGCCTTTACTTCATAAGCACTGAGATTATAGGTATATGCCACTACACACAGCTCACTTTTGATAAAGAATAAACACATCATTTCTTGTTTTTTGTTTGTTTGTTTTTTAACTAAGATAATGTGTGAAAGTGTGGGTAGGACAATTCTTTTCATTTGTTGTTTATTTTTTGTAATTGAAATAGGGTCTTATCTATGTAGTTCAGGGTGACTTTAAACTTATCAATCTTCCTGTCTGAGTTTATCTAGTGTTGGATTATAGGAATATGCCAACATTTCTTTTTTTAGTAGTTTTTAAATCTGTAGCCTAGTCTGGCCTTGAACTTGTGATCCTTCTGCCTCAGCCTCCCAAATGCGGGAAACACATGTGCACCACTGTGCTTGACTCATGAATAGTTATTTTTGTAAATGGTTGATTAATATTTTGTTAAGAGATTAATGTCTAATTTACTTGACTGATTCTTTATTGGAAAATATTTAGGTTATCTTTGACATCTTACAAAGTGTGTGTGTCCTTCTTTATAAATAGAATGCCTCTAGAATGATCAGGGAGTTTCCCGGTTCATGAGTGATCTCTCTTAGGTATAAGGATTCCTTTCCCATGAGCTATTGCACTTTTTCCTTAGTCATCTTGACCAACAAGTTCATCTTTACCACTGTGGGGAGGTTTATTTTGTTTTTTGTTTTTTTTTTTTTCCCCCCTCTGGGAGAAGATTACTGACAGAGCAATTCCTAGATCTTATATTATATGATCCTGGTTTAGTCAGTAAATCCTCTAATTATGTAGCCTAACTTAGGGGCATCAGCAATTTAATTTTCAAGGATATGAGGTGATACATTTTGGAAAATAGATTTGGACCTCTTTGCAATGTCTGTAATTAGATTTGTACATTAAAAAGAGTGACTGTGCCTGGTGGTGGTGGCACATGCTTTTAATCCCAGCACTTGAAAGGCAGAGGCAGCAGATCTCTGTGAGTTTGAGACCAGCCTGGTCTACAGAGAAAGTTCCAGGACAGGCTTCAATGCAATACAGAGAAACCCTGTCTCAAAAAACCAAAAAACCCCAAAACAAAGCAACAACCAAAATCCGTGGTGAACTGAATAAAAAAGCCCAGAGGAGTGGGAGAGAGTATGCGCAGTATGGATGAAACACTGGTGAGATAAATATAGATGGGCAGAAGAGCATTGTGAGAGATGTTCCAGCAATGTCATGAATTCCAAGTAGGGGGCTATTCCAAGCAGCTGCTGAGCTGGAGTGCATTCCTGAGCTCCTAGGCTCCACTTGTGGGGAAACAGGACTCTTCTAGGTAAGTGACTATCATGATGAAGGGGCATGATGGCTGGGGAATTAGCCCAGAATTTTCACTTCATTGTTTGGCCAAGAAAGCAATTTTAGTCAATCTTGAAAGAATATTACTAGAATAAGTAACACAACTTTTTAAAAAACTTCATGTAAGGCTATATAAAGTACAGAAATGCTTACTAGAATTAAAAGCATTTAATTGCCACCTCATCCTCAAGATTTTATAAGGAGCTGAAAGAATTGAGCGGCTCATAATAACAAACAAGGAAGTGTTCTAAGAAAAAATCTAGAAACCCTTGCTGAGAACTTGTTCCATGTGTAGTGGCTCTCAACCTTCCTAATGCCTCAACCCTTTAATACAGTTCCTCATGTTGTGACCCCCCCAACCATAAAATTATTGTTGTTGCTACTTCATAACTGTAAATTGCTACTGTTATGAATTGTTACATAAATATCTGTGGTTTTTTTTTTTTTTTTTGATGGTCTCGGGCAACCTCTGTTCATTCAGCTCAATAGCAGGCATCCTGGGACTTGGATGCTACAGCACCGTCATTGGGTTACTTTATGATTCAGGGTTAATTTCGTCATATCCAAATGCTATCCGTTATGGCCGCTAACTTTAGGCATGTGGTCGAGAGTTGTAACAACCTACTAAATATGACCAACTAGGTGCTTGTGTTGACAACTCAGTACACTCAACTCCGAACAAGCTTTGCACAGATAACTGTTTCCCTAGTTCCCTATGTTACTATGCTTGGTAAAGATTAGCCAAATGGAACTTGTCATCTTTTGCTGCTCCATTCCAATAGGTTCGAGTGCCAAAGACCGGTTCCCTAGAATTTGCCCGTAGGGTAACTCTAGAAGTGACAGACAGCCCGAAGCCGGGGTTCTCCCGCTGTTTGATTGGGTTTCTAAGAAAGCCCCGCCTCACACACTTCACTCAGGGCTACAGTTGGCCGGGTGCGGCTGAGTGGCGGATCTTGGTCACGCCCCGGCCGTCCGCTGCGCTGCCTGGGCCAGCGCCGTTTCCAGTTGAGAGATGGCGGCCGCCGCAGGTAGATCGCTCCTGCTGCTGCTCTGCTCCCGGGGCGGCGGCGGGGTCGCCGGAGGCTGCGGGGCGCTGACTGCAGGTTGCTTTCCCGGGCTGCCCGTCAGCCGCCACCGGCAGCACCAGCAGCACCGGACGGTGAGCGAGCGCGGCTCCGGGGAGGGCGGGGCGGCGTGGGGAGCCGCGGGCAGGCCGGGGCTCCCGGCGACTTCCCTCAACTCGCGGCTGCCCCGGGGTGGCGGGCCACCGAGCCGCCGTGTCCTTCAGCGCCTGCGGCGGCGGCTGCGAAGATCGGGGCGGGCGGGCGGGCGGCAGAGGAGGAGGAGGGGCGACAGCAGGGATGTTCCCGCAGGACTGGGGACGCCTGGGCGGGGAAGGCACGGGACTTGAACCTCTCCCTGACCCGCCTCTGGCTCGGTTCCTCCCTCCGCGTTTCCTGACAGCTTTGCTCCAGTGCTCCTGAACTGATCCCGGTCCCTTTCTCTTCTCGGCTGGGCGGGTTGGGGCGTCCTGAGTTGCCGCGGTTGCCGGTGTGTCAGGAGAGTGTCAGTGCCACGCTGCTAGGAACTGTGTCCCCGGAGAGCACCCCAGAACCCCAGGAGGCTGCTACCTCGCTCTCTCTTGGCCCCCTAGGATCGCGCAGGAAGGGAAATCAAACTTTATCCCTCTCAGAGTACCTGCATGTATGCGTTCCCGGAACCACTTTCCTCGAGGTGGATGCTGCATTGCTTCAGGAGGCAAGCATCCTCCCCTCGGATCCTTAAAGGTCCCGGTGGTCCCTTCGGAGCGTTGGCTTTCATGCTACACTCGTGCCTAAAGGAAGGGCAGCAGGCACTAGAGAGGCAGCATGGCAAGTTGTTCACGGAGACAGTGATTTGGTGGTTCTGTTAACCAGTTCTTGCCGGGTTTCGTTGCCTAGCAAGGAAAAGAAATTGTCTAAACAGCCTAGGGGTGTGTGTGTGTGTGTGTGTGTGTGTGTGTGTGTGTGTGTGTGTGTGTGTGTGTGTGTGTGTGTGTGTAGTGGACGGTGTGGGGGAGACGGGGGATGGGAGCTTGGCATGGAGTTTTTCACTTAACAAGTCAGCAGGTTCTCTTCGTGTGTGTGTGTGTGTGTGTGTGTGTGTGTGTGTGTGTGTGTGTGTGTGTGGTGATGGGGGGGGTCGGAATCTTGGCATGGAGTTCTCTTCCTTTCGACTTTCGAGGTCCATATGTGTTGGTTTCTGGCCAACTCTGAGAACAAGTGTAGGTTTAATTTCATAGGGTGAACTTGTATAGTGTGTCGATGGGAGACTCAGTGCAGCCGGCCCAATAGAGAAAGTGGTGCCTTCGGTCCATGCACCATGACCTGTCTTGTTCTGATTCCCCATCTCCGAAGAGGAAGGGACTGGAGGTTTGCAGAGAGGATATCCCTAGACCTATGATAGCATATGATTGTGGGAACGGGCTATGAAAAGGACCGAGGCTCTGCAAATGTATTGCTATTATTAGCCATAGTTACGGACCTGATCATCTTTGTGAGAAAATTGTACTTTTTTGTATTTGGCATACTGACATTGCTTTGCTGAAGCATTTGGGTGAGAGCCGAGTTTTTCTATAGTTCAATTCTGATTTGCATGTTTCACAGCCTCTAGTTATGTTCTCTGGAATATATAAAGGCCACCCCAAAATCTGATGGCATCCTTATCCCTCTGAACTATTGGAAGACTTCCTGAGTTACCTGTTTTCAAATGAGGCATCTTTTGATTTTGTATTTCGTTTTTAATATTGTTTGGGTGTGGTATTCAAGTGGTATTTGAAAATTTGTGCCTCATGTATTTTCAACCATGCAAATGCACCGGTCTGTGAGTGTCTTCCTTGTAGGGATACTTCATGACAGTGTTCTTCTGTGCTATTCTGGGGTGGGTAAAAGTGGTGCGCTGAATTTGTAACTGAAAGCACAATTAAAAATGAAGTGTTATTTTTGAAGGGCAAATGTGTTGTCATGGGAATGGTGACTTGTAAATGAACTTGGGATCCTAAGATTTGAAAAGAGATGAACCTGATGATTTAAATTTGTAGAAGCAGATTTGAATTTTTGTCCAATTGCGTTAAAGCCATTGTGTATGTATCCCCATCAGATTCTCTGTGATTCTTCACATGACATTCTATTTGGAAGATGTCTCTTAGGGATTTAACTCTTGATTTTTTTCCAAGCCTGAAATTGAGGCCCAGAAAGGAGAGAGACTTGGCCAAGAGTACACAGCTGGTAAGCTTTGTCCTGCCTAGGTATTATAACTCCTCTTTTGTGTTTTTTATTGTATAATAAACCACAGCTGCCTTTCACTTATATGTCTCTCCTTTTACTAATAAAATTGACTAATTGTCTGCCAGGAAATTCTATGCATTTCAAAGCTGCCGGAGTAGAGTCTTTTAAGTGGATGTGATTTTGAGGCACACTGAGTAGGAGATTATGGAACAAATAACTTTCCCCAAACATCCTACCTGGTGAAACACTGTGGTTAAGTGAGACATCCCATGTATGCTGCAGATGGTGGTCTGCATCGAACTGATCACAAGTTCAACTTGTGCCCCTTTTAAATTCACCAGTAATAGGTGTAGAAAATTAGAGCCATGGGTCACAGCTGATAATAGCTTTCCCCCTTTTTTTTCTGGCTTGGGTCACCTTGTTTTTTTTTTTTTTTGTTTGTTGTTTGAAATAGGGTCTCACTATGTAACAGAGACCAAATGATCTCTCCTTTTTCTGCTTCTCATCTCCCTAATGTTGAGATTATAGACATGTGCCACCATGCTCAGCCAAGCCAAGAGCCATTGTTTTAAAATGAGTCTAAAGCAAATAGAACTTTAATAAAATGGTAAATATGACCGCATAGTTATAAACATAACTGTTCACCACTGCCCCATTAAAACATATTTCACCCTCCTTCTACTTTGTTGCATAGGCAGCCTTCTAACTCCAAGCAGCCCTCTAACTCCTGGCTCTAAGAGATCCTCCTGCTTCAGTTTTCCACCTAGCTGAGACTGCAGATGTGCATTCCTGCAATCTGATTCTAGAACATCTTTCAGTGGAATAAAAGCAGTAAAGGTACATGGCTTTGCCGGTCTGTTTTGCATCATGCAGTGTGACTTTCCTTCTTGTATAAAGAGCCTGGTATTGCTGTCTAACTTGGGAGCATTATCAGCGAATATAAACTGTTGTATACCTTCCTGTGTGAGTAGTGAAGGTGGCTGCTATTTCCAAAGATGTTCTTTCCAGGGGAATTGCCTTTCCTTGTGGGCTGTGCAATTCCTTTGCTAAATCAAACGGCTTCATCTCTGATTATGACAGCCTGAGTGTTGGCAGTTGGTCAGCATCTGTACTAAATTACAAAATCACAAGCAGGTATTACAGTTACAATTTGTGCCCCCCCCTTCTCTACACATCACAGTTTGTTTTTTTGTTTTTGACAGTAATAATGTTGCAATTCCTCTTTCCCAGAGGCTACTTTGCTTAATACACAGTCCTCCTTCACAGGAGGAAGTAAGAAGCCCAGGCTGGCCTTAAGCTACCTATGCACCAAGCTGGTCTTGAACTTCCAGCCGTCTGCCTGCATGGAATTATAGGCCTGTATGAGAATGCTAGGCTTAAACCCTAGTTCCTTGAGTTTCTCCTGGTTGGAGTCTGTCTGTCTTTTGCTGGATCCATGCACAAAGAACTCTACGGCAATTAAGCCAACTCCAGCATTGTCCCCAAATGTTCCATCCATGCCTACTATTAAACAGATTTTTGTGGTGGTATTTCACCTGTAACTACCCCATTCATTCCTCTATGTCTATCTAAGGTTCATTTCAGGCCAGAGGCTGACATACAACTCGTTTTGTCCAATGCCCTCACTTCATAAATCTAATGAAACAGAGGAGTGACTTGTGAGGCTGTATTTGTGGCAAATAAGGAATTAGGGATTAAGATTCCTTTAAATGGATATGAGTTCAAAAAGGCTTAGCTAAAGGCTGGGTGTTATGGGTGCACACCTTTTATCCTTATACTCAGGAGGCAGAGGCAGGTGGATCTCTGAGTCTGAGGCCAGCCTGGTCTACAGAGTGAGTTCTAGGACAGCCAGGGTTACAACAGGGAAACCAAAAAGGCTTAATTTATAACATAACTCTGCTGATTCCTGCCTCTTAGTTTTTTTCTATTCTTTAATCTAAATCCTGATAGAATTTATTATCTTCAGGGTACAGATGAACATTGTACTCTCTGTGTTTCAGTGGTGGACTCCCTATCTTACTGGGGCTATAAGTCCAAGATGTATATCTTACTATTCCTCCCCTCTTGACTCTTTTAGCCTGTTGTCAAGGAAGCCAAGTCTGAAAAATTGATTTAAGTTTTGTGATGCTTTTGATTGTATGTTACATTTCTTTATGATGGATTGGTAGCAAGAGTTGGTACCATCAAGTTAGCTCTGTCATGGTCAGTAGCTTTCTGCTCATAACCAGTTAATGAATGATAATTACCCTGATTATTAGGGATATATGCTTCAATCAGATTCCAAATGTGTTGTTTTATTCTACTGTAGTATTATAATATTGAAGGTCCTAGATACATTGGTTTAGAACACACTTTTTTTGTTTTATAAGGGGGCAGATATCCTTTTATTCATCTTAAAAATCTTATTTTGAGTCCCATAAAATATTATGAGTGAATGAAGTTAGATTTATTGAACATATTCAGATCATTTGATCTTTTTAAGGCTCTGAGGACTTTATTTTATTCTGTATGAAACTTCATCTAAATAGATAATGTAGCATCAAGGATGATATAGTCAAAGACAACACATTGACAGCCAGACAGTACATTGACAGCCCCCCCCTTTTTCCTTTTGGTACTTCGCCTGCTTCCTGTAGGTCTTCTGCAATATGATGTCATCATGAATAACCACTGGGACTAAGGTCAATATTATATTTTCATTGGACTTTTTTCTTAATTGGAGTGACTAAACTGGGGCTTTATGGATATATCAGAATTATACTGTATTAGAAAACTATAGCTGTTGTATACAAGTAATTCTAGAACAGAACTCTGAAGCCCTTAGAACAGTGGTTTTCAACTTGTTGGTCACCCCTCCTATATGTGTGTGTGTGTATGTGGTGGGTCAAATGAC